AAATACCCACGTGCAGATCAAATAATAATGAAGGCCGATTTGAAAAATTTGCTATCGAAATGTTAAACAATTTCGCAAAATTCTCAGAAGTCATCATGAACTCGATCAGTGCCAAGAATTAATTAATCAAGTATGGCCACACGATACCCGAAAATTAGTTTTAATTTACTGGTAATTGGGTGAACAATTTCTACAATTCTTCATGCAGACTTGCAGTGGCAGAGGAAGAGTACGTGATGAGAGGAAAGACGCTGTGCGCTCTGCAAGAAACTCTGCAGATATTGTCCGAGCGTTTCATGAGCTGCACTCATGAGCTCCTGCAGAGGGAAAACCTCCTAGATACTTACAAAAAGGTCTCATCACACATATTATTTCATTTATTTCATTTTTTCATTTGTTTATTTATTATTGTCATATCTTTTTATGTATTTATTTATTTATTGCTATCATACATTTTTAGTTATTAATAATTCATGTTCATAATATTCATGTTTTATTTTATTTATAATAAGGTTTCATGGTATTATTTCTTGGTATTATTATATTAATTCTTTTATTCTTCCTGCAGATCGGTAGTTGTAGAGCAATAATTGAATTTAGCTGATGTTTACGCTAATTTTTGTTATAATTTATGTTTAAATATTGCTGTGTTAAAAGATGTGTCATAGTTCGAACGAGTCAATATTCTAATAATTGAACTAATAATGCTGGTAACAGTAGTCGCTGTTCTCACGATAGCTGCACTTGAACCAAAGTTATCAGTATTATTGTTTTCATTTATTCGCTCACACACGAAAGGAAATATTCCTGTCATAAATTTTACCAAGAAAATCAAAATAATATTGATAATATGCAAGCATTTAAAAAAACTTGAATTTGAATACGTTAATCCTAAACCACGTGACATTCATTACCTCATCATTTTTATTCAAATACTATCGCTCGATAATACTTTTCTCCCACCCTCTTGCAAGAAAAAATTCTCACCGAATCCCAGCTAACTTTCTTGACTTATATTCGTTATTTTTTATTACTATAATCAATTTTATTGATAATTCATTTTAACCATCATCATTTCTAGCAATGACTACTGATTACCCCCTAAGTAATATAATTAATTTTAATTAGATTATAAGTTTATAATTGGATAATTAATTTTTAAACATAATAATTTCTAGCAATGATTACAATAATTACTCCCTCCCCCAGGAGCTGGAGGCGGTGGAGAGAGACCAGGACGCCACGTCTCGCAAGACCTCGCGCCTCCTACAGGGTCTGCGCGAGGCTGCAGAGCGCGACGAGGGGCAAGTCTGTCTTGAGCGCGCAACTGTCGGCGCTCTGCGCAGCGCTTCAGCTCAACTGCGCCGACTCAGCGCACAGACTCTGCAAGCTGTGAGTGAGCTGACTTGTAGCGCTGCAAGCTGTGAGCTGACTTGTAGCGCTGCAAGCTGTGAGTGAGCTGACTTGTAGCGCTGCAAGCTGTGAGCTGACTTGTAGCACTGCAAGCTGTGAGTGAGCTGACTTGTAGCGCTGCAAGCTGTGAGCTGACTTGTAGCACTGCAAGGTGTNGCTCAAACGCTGCAAGTTGTGAGTGAGCTGACTTGTAGCGCTCAAACGCTGCAAGCTGTTAGTGAGCTGACTTGTAACGCACCAACGCTGTGAGTGAGCTGACTTGTAGCACTCAAACGGTGCAAGCCAGACGTGAGCTGACTTATTTATTGTACCGAGAATTTTCACTGTGTACTAGTACTTAACAATAAGATGAAGAGGCAGAATTTAGTAACATTACAGATTACTTAGAGGACACTAACACGATGACTCAGACGGCTGTGAGTCAACTGTGAGTCAATTTATTTATATTCATAATAATAACATTCAGGAGAGTGGTATTTTTGCTGTAATTTTGGTGAACAAGGGATTTAAATCTCATGGTAGTTGTGAACGAAGCATCTAACGGAAAATCAATTCAATCAATTTTCATGGAATTGAGCATTCCCGAACCTTTTCGGTTGCAACCTTTATAAGGGTTGAATTTTCTTGTTCCATCTTTATTCCTTGTTCAAATTTAAAGTATTTTTTGAACCTTCTAGTTTTCTGCATGGCTCATGAAAATATGTAAAATTAGGTTTCACTGCGTTATAGACTTCAGCTTGTGTCACTTAGATTTGATTACCTCTGGTGTTATTATTCTACTCGACAAGTGCATTTTCTAACTTTTTTTACGCTTTGCATTCCTTGTAATATGCAAAGGCACTGAACAGAATTTAATACTAGAAAATAGAATAGGAAATTATAGAAAAAAATAGGAAATTCAGCTGAGAGCAAGATTTATTTTCCTCCATCACCACCAGGAGGCAGAGGCGTGTGAGGCAGAGCGCAGAGTTAGTGAGGCGCAGAGACGAGTTGGTGAGGCAAAAGCGCGACTCACAAAGCTGTCCTCAGCACACACCGGCCTCACTCACCACCTCACCAGCCTCACCAACCAGCTCCAGAAGTTGGTTGTTTGTGAATCAAATGATTCACTGAATTAATTTTCATTTGTATCAGATCAAGAAATTTGGAGAGATACTCGTCTATAATTTACTAAAAATATTAACTGTATAGTGCTGGGTGTTTTCTGTATTGTCGAAGATTCTCTCTTTTTAGGCATTTACTTATATTTTACCGCGGCCAATGGCTTTTTCCGTTAATTAAATTACTTATTTGCGAAACATTATTAGTAGCGTAAGCCAAATTTTAAATTGTCCTAGATGCCACGCCTGTTTGAGTGAAAAATGTGATATAATTTAAAAAATATATTATAAGACAATAATTTCATAAGATAACAGTCGCTTAATAGTTCTATGTGTCGGATTTGTCCAAAAAAAGCTCTAGTTTGGGACGCATAAGATTGTGACTGAGAAATGTAGCATCAACAGATGAAGAATAAGTTTCATGAACATCGAGAAGATGTTTAACCGTTCCTACTGTACGGTTATGTCATTTGTTATGCAGGTTAATGTGTGAAGAACTGCAGGAACAGTCACAGCTTGAAAGACTTGTTGCCCAACACCAGACAACGTGCGACCGCCTAGACCAACTCAAATGTCAGGTAAAAGATTAGTATTTTAACCATAACTCAGGTATAATGTCAGTGACAATAACGAAAAGCGTTAGGACTGTTCGTACAACCGTAACATCCATGGAGAAAGAACTTATTGTTTAATAATAACCTATTACTAAACTTATAGTAATTTATAATAAATAACTTATTGTAAACTTATTCAGAACTTTATGCTTTGGCTAATTATTTTATTGTTAGCCACGGTCCAGTCATGTACTTCTGTGAATGTCCTGAACACAATTATTTTTGTTATTTTTAATATAAACTCGAGCAAAAATTTAGAAGAACCTGCTCCCTATCGAACGCTGGCGTTGACAAGAAATTTTTCAGCATGCCTCGACGCTCGTAATTTATACTTGGGTCTTAACTCATCCTTATCTGGTGCTGCGCTTACACTATTATAGAGAAGAATTGCCCCCTTACGATGACGGTATTCCTTAAAATATACCGAAGAACTATTAATTCCACAACGATCATCGTAGACCAATATATTTTACATCAGTTATCGCAGTCAAATTTATTCCAAACCGGTTTATTGTGGGCCTATTCATTCCACAACGATTATTTATAGTTGACCTAAATTTATATTTCACACGGTTATTGAAGACCTATTTATCCCACACCGGTTATCGTAGGCTTATTTAGTACACAACGTTATCTCGGAGAGTCACGCTATAGTTATGTATTAGAGTCTTGCCAAAGTTTTATATTTTTAGTCCGTTATTAATTTCACTCTCGTAATTTGTAACGGCCTCGGGACGTACTATTAGTATGCTGGTGGTATTATTTATAGCTAATTCTGATTTATCGTTTATGATCTTTCTTATGAAAAGGCCTTGTATTAGAGAACTGTGGGAAGAACTACACACTCTCCCTTGACGGCACATGGGAGATTAATCTCTTTTAAAATTTGCTCCGCTCTATCGTTCTTTTTCTATCTTTGGCATACGGTACAACTCTGTGTTAAATTTTTGGAGTTAGTTACGGCCGACATGATCTCGAAGTTATGTGCTAGATGCTTCAAGTTTTTGAACAATGATATGGCTTTTATCATAAGGATAATTCAAGGCTTGAACCTAAATTTTTCTTGAACCTTTTGAGGTTACGAATACTTTTTGCGTCATATTTTAACGTTGGTAGGAAATATCACGCAGGTAGGAAATCTACATTTTTGTGACTTCTTTTAGAGCTTCACTCCATACCCTTGCGCAATTCCAGCAAGAAAAAATACACATAAGTTAGCCGCAAGGGAAGAAGGACCAGAAACTCTCACCCGTTGAGCAATTCACACGCTTTTGAAAATAGAGATCAAAGGTTTAGCTCTCTGGCGGTCCACCTTTGCAGTAAAAAAGCCTCTAAAGCGCAGCGAGGTCCTGAGATGCACTCTCTCATATTAAGACAAGCTGTTGAACAAACTCGCGACGCTGGTAGCTGACGCACAAGCCTGCATATTTTGCCAACACAGTTTAAAGCCACGGCTTGGTCGACTTAAGCTTCTGCACTAAGCCACTTGAACCTTTGTGCCTCTTTTCTACTTTTTCAGATTTACAATCTTTCCTCGTACATTTTTAGTATCTTGTTTGGTCCATTGGCGGAATTTTATTTTATTTGTCTCTATACATTTTTATATATTTTTACACCGGCTGTCTTTTCAGGAACAATAAATTGTTACTGAAAATTTCCATGGATAAAAATTACACGAAGATGATTTCTCAATTAAAATCAAAAAATATTTTTCTGCCAGTCTGGAGGAGCAGGTCCTCTGCAGCAGCAGATAGCTGGCCTGCAGGAAGCCGTGCAAGAAGCCTGCAGGCAGAGGCAGGAGGCAGAAAAGCACGCGCATCGCCTACACTCCAGCATCCTGCAGCAGCAGCACAACGTGCAGCATCTGCAGCAGCAAACTGCAACCAAGCAGACGGGTAAAAACATGATGAAATATTTTCAAAGTATGTGTATTTTATTAAGGGTCACATCTTCTCTTTCGAAACATATCGTCAATATCTCGAATGTTACAACCCGAACAAAATTCGGGACCGCTCAGGCTTCGGCCGAATTGTCCCTAACAGGGCCCTATGATATTCCGAGTCTGCTTATATAGCTACCCAATCGAAGGTAGCTTCTAGACAGAAAAAATCTCCTCACCGACCTAATAGTCGACTAAGAGTATGATGAAAGTTGGCCGAGTCAAATCATACCGAGCTGTCAAACTGCCAATAATATAATAAATAATAATAGCGGTTTCAGCGTTTAATAGGCCGCAGGCCTGTCGCCAATTCTTAACATCGCAGAACATTCACAGCTTGTTACCGTCTCGAACTCGCAACTCACTGCTACAATTCTGCTGTGCTTAACCGCCCGGCCTCCTCGCCGATTCTGACCAGAAACTGGGGCACAGAGCTGGGAACGAACCCGCGCCTCTCTGCTCCAATCCTGGGCCTATACTTTCAAAGAAAGTTAAGAGATCGTAAGTTCATCAGCCAATCATTGACGGCCTTTCAAGCAAAATCCACCAATCATAGACAAGAAAATAGAGCGTAAGTACTTACGTTCACTTAGCGAGTTTTGAAAGTATGGCCCCAGGTACTCTGAACTGTAACCACCGGGCCACCCTGCCAAGAGGCTGCCTTTCATACCCTGTGCCGAGACAGACATAGAGGAGCTGATTTACGGGTCCCCGAGCCCTACGCGGCACCTAATGCAGAGTCGAACTCGCATCTAACTTTTGTCAGGGATATTCTTGCTTTTGAAGATTGATAGTGATTTAAGAAAACGAGATATGCAACTAATGTGAAAAAAAATTCAACAATAAAGGATATTTTAACCAATTTTAAAAGGTAGGATATATACCAAGAACCATAGTTTTAATTGAGCTCGTAGCAATTTTAACTGTCAACAAAGTTTAAAAAAAACTAAGATTGAGCTTTAATATTCGAATTATTTGCGTTGCTTTCAGTATCCGTTTTCATTGTACTATTAAAAACTTCAAATTTCGATAATTCTTAAGAATTTATTTCCTGATACGCATATTGTATTTCATGAGAATTTCTGCCTTATCTGCCGCGTCATCGGCCAGCTGCAAATCTTGCAAGGAAGATAACTAGATTCTCGAGGTCGTTCAAATCCACTTCAATAAAACTTCAAGACTTTCGCCAAAACGTTTATGCTTGGCCGAAAAAAATCGACAACCCTTCTTTATACAGATTTGTGCAGGGCAAACGTTTGTAACCTGATTTTGGAAAGTTTAGGCCGTTTTCACAGCCCATTGCACTCACTGTAGCTTCAGCTCTGCTTCTATAGCCGCACCCGTCTCAGATTGAGAAAGGCGAGAGCTTGACATTAAAAACAAACTCTGTTCGTTTCTGGGGTCGTGATGTCACACAATCACAGACAAGAAATCCAATCACAGACAAGAAATCGGTCGCTACGTGTATTTAGAAAGCTACGTGTACTTAAGTAAGTTTTGATAGTGGGGTCCCTGAACACTTTGGTTGATTTTGTATTAGTTTAGGTACGTTTGGGCAGATATTTCTATATATTGTCACTGTTGCAGAGTTGCGGATCACCAAGGAGCGTCTGATCCGCGTGTCCGGCAGCGTAGGTTCTGCAGAGTCTCAGCTGCAGCGAACTCTGCAACAGCGCGAAACTCTTCAGAGGAACATCGCACTAACAGATGCAGAGCTACAGAACTGGCAGCAACAGAGAGACTCTGCAGCGCACCAAAGCGCTGTGTGTCAGCAAGAGAAAATGGCAGAGTTGAAGGTAGGCTGCTGAATGTAATTCGCTTTCATTCATTATATAGATGAAATATGTATCATTTACATTATAGACGTACCACATATTTCATAATTATTTATACATATATTAGTAGAATTACGAAAACAGCAATGAGAGAATCAAGCATCACGTAAAAATAATGTAATCCATTTATTATAACTTAGAATTCATTATGAATTTGCCACACATGGACATTATTTTCCACCATGTGCTAGCTAATAGCATAACTTCTGTCTCGTGATTCATGTATCTCCTCGATATTTTCTCGATTTAATTTTTGGCCCAATGTTGAGTTAAATCATTCTCTTGATATTACATCATGAATACGTTAATATTCGTATAATTGAGTTAAGAATAACGATTGAATTAATTATGATGCACAGCAGTTATATACGGTCATGATTTTAAGTTAATAAATTAAGCTTCATTTTACTTTGCTTGCTTATTGCTTGGAATACTATTACCAGGAATAATGTTGGAATATTTGAAATAAATATTTATATGAATATTTCTTCAGCCTCGAGACTTTTCAGGGACAAATGAAACGAAGAACGCCGTTCATGTAAAAGATTCACTTGCACGCACATTTTTGCCTACTTTACCACATGCTTTTTAAATTTCTCGAGAGTTTCCATGAACAAGTTTAAATTTCTACCGGTAATCACACAAATTAATAAAATTCAACATAGTCCTGATGAAAATTCAAAGGTAGCAATATTTTTCATCAAAACAAAACACTTTTAAACGCAGCAGTCCATGAAAACCAATCTCCTCGTGAATCACTTGCTCATTAATGCGTGTCCGCTGAGTCAAATACGATCTTTTCTCCGTGCAAAAATTGCAAATGCCGTTCCTAGTTAAATAACTAATCATTGATCGATTGCGTTAACATGTAACGCTGCAGTAACTATGCTTGTTGGCTTAGCATCGTCTATTTCCATACTCGTTGATGAGCTTGCATTTGCTCGCTGAACATCGCGCAGTAATTGACGCGCTAAGCTTTATCTGAATATTTCATTGTTAATGAACAAAAATGAAATGATAGTGAGCTGAACGCCTCAGCGTTGCCTCTATCATAAGTTATAGTAACAATTCAAGATCTATGTTACATCTGAATAATTCATGATAATCAAAAGAAAATGAAGCTGTAAGAATCTATATGATCTTCAGCATAGCTAACAGAGTTCATAGTTACAATTTACGCCCCAGTGTCATCTGAATATCTCATTATTCGAAAACGTTTCGGAGTCCAGCTACATCGTCAGTTCGACAAACCTAGAAAGTAAGTACAATCATTTTACGATTCAGAGTCAGACATTAAAACCTAAAATTTACAAATAAAAAACAAATCGGCCTAAAAGAACGTAGCAAAACTGGTCTATCTGTTAACAATCTCAACGGCATGGGAACTGAGAGCGGAATTTAAGCTAGGCTTCTGTTTGAAAAAATAAAGGGATTTTAAAATTCGCAAGTCGGAAAGACCGGTAGTGGAAGCAAAAAAATTGAAGTCTCTGTCGGATACCGGGACACCACAATGCTCGGCATGAATTCGAACTACTGAATGAGTGCGATGTGCAAGAAAATTTATTGCTCGATAACACCTTCCTTTATGCTCAGCAACTCTATAATGAAAGTTGCGTGACGTCATGCTGACGTCGGCTGATGAGCATTGCGCGCTACTGAATTTGTAAACTAGAGACGGCCGCAGTAAATCAGTGAGTGTATCTTTATACCCGAAGAAAGGGCTGATCTTAAAATTATTCACAATAATATCAGGAGATTGACATTTGAAAAGTACTACCTGAAAGAAACTATCAACTCATTGACATACTTTCAGATGCTGCACCGAAGTATGGGAATGAACATTAAACAACGTTTCTTCTTTTTACACTCGGAAGTAACCTCAGTATATTGTTTAGAAATAAATTTCTTAATTTGAGTAAACACCAGGTGAGACGGAAACCTATTACGTGAGAAAGTATTGCGCAAAAATTCAAATTCAGTGAGCATGGCATGGAAGGTTAAGCAAATACGAAAGCCGCGGTGTATTAGTGTTTGAATCCCATTTAATTTAGAACGAAATGAACAGAATCTAAGGAAGCGGGGGCTTAAACCAGTTAAACTAGATTTTAGGAAATCAGAAGTCTCTAAACGGTTATTAGATTTAGTAATATTGCAAACGAGAAAAGTCAAACTATTGTTGGATTTAAGTTACATAGTGAATTTGGTCGACCTATGTTGACGGTTAAGATAATTTAAAAAACAGCCCCACGTAACAGGGATACCTGAAAACCAACTGCATTGTTGAATTGCACGCTTCATCGTTACCTCCAACGCAATTTATATTTACAATTTACACTGAAATTCCAGTCAGTTGATGACTTAAACTTTAATGTAAGCTTATCCTCCTACTTCGTATTCATAGCTTTCAAATATTTAAGACAGCTTTGTCTTTCTACAGTCTCTCGAAGATGACTTTGATGTCCAACAACAGAATATTCTCAACATCCGGGACAAAATCGAACGAACACAATGCCAATTGTGGGATAAACAACAGCAGGTGAGTGTACTTCGTTACTATTATTCTTGTATTATTTTAGCGTATTGTCATTTCACCCGAGCCTTGCATTTATAGATACAATTATTATTATTGGGTACTGCATGGATGTGAAAAAATATATATTTTATAAAACTTCAAATATTATTTTTAATATTTGCACGTAAAATATTATGAAGGGTTAGCTTTGAAACTGACCCGTCCTCCGACGAGATAATGAGACGTCACGTATGAGAACTGAACAAGGAATAACTAAAGTGAAAAGACTAAAATTACAGATAATTTGTTTGCTTTCTTGTTCTGATCATAACCAATCCTCTACATCAATTAGTCACTATTTTCAAATAGTGAAATGTTACCCATGCCAAAATATCAGGAGTAAATTCTATATCCTGTACCGTTTTGATCAGCATAAATATTTTTTATTAATATTTAAAATTTACCAATAGTATCACTAAATTTCGTAACAGTGAAATTTTATAAATGCCCAAGAGAAAATATTATAATTTGCTGGATCAGTTGGAGGAATGGAGACGCAGGCTGGAGCAGCTGGAGGCGGTGAAGCTGGAGGTGGAGCAAGCGAGCGCTGCGTCTGGAGACTTGGCCGCCAAGAGGACAGAGATCACCAGACTCCAGGTCTGCTATATTTCTGGCTGCCATGAGGACAGAGATCACCACACTCCAGATCTGCTATATTTCTGGCTGCCATGAGGACAGAGATCACCAGACTCCAGGTCTGCTATATTTCTGGCTGCCATGAGGACAGAGATCACCAGACTCCAGGTCTGCTATATTTCTGGCCGCCATGAGGACAGAGATCACCAGACTCCAGGTCTGCCATATAGTTTGCAAGTCATTGAAGCCACAACAGAACTGTGCTGGTGACGAGAAATATCAATGAATTTACTTATAGCCATTAATTTGAACAAATTTTCTAAGAACGTGAACCGTTTTGCTTCCATCACCAAAATAATTATTAATGACCGGTTTAATGTTTGTAAATTGTTAGATTTATTGTGCCTTATTATTGAATTCAACTGGTTAACAACGCGTCCTATCGTAACACATTCTCAATAATAATTCGTCAATATTTTAATATCACAGCTCAATAATTTTTATTTCAATTCTGTGCCATCTCTTAACTACCAAAGTTTCATTATTTTCAATATCTGTAGACAAATGCTCTGCTTATCTCGAGACATTCTTCCTACATTTCGCAAGTTGATCTTCTAGCGATTTTAAAATATTCACATTGATTATGCCATAACCAATCAATTAATCAATGTTAATCAATTCAATTACCATAATAGACACAGTGGCGCAGTTTGGAGGTACAGCAGAGCAGCGCAGCGGCCGCGCTTCATAAAGCCCTTGAGACCGAAGACTGTCTACGTTATAGAGGTCAGTTTTATTTGTCACTTAACTTTATTATATAATGTATTATTAAATATTATTTGTAAAATTTTAATATGTACATGCTAAGTTCCGTAAAGTCGAGGTAAAATCTTGATCAATGACGTCGTGATAAATTGCTTCAAACATAATTAAGGCAAAAAAGGGCACATTCTCATGAAAATTCTTTTGGTTTCAAGCGAAATTTCTAATCGCGTGAAATGGTTTCAATTAAACACGATGCGGTTACAAAAATCATCAATAGAATTGTATATGATAAGGCAATTATAATAGGCTTTCCATCGCATCTAATCATTAGCATCATACATGTAACGAACCTAAAAATGTAAGTCATAATTTTATTGCATTAATTATTGTCATGGCCTTTTAAAATCTCGGGACTTCTTTATTCTTTCTTCACATCGAAGGAAACAACACGGAACTAACGAACAAAGATATCAAATAAGTGTAAAAAAAAGAGTTCCTTGTGAATGCCCATACCCGCTAAACAGCTTCGCGGGCGACAATTGGGCAGGCGAGAAAGGCGGTAAATGACTTTATTAAATGATAATAGGATAATGATAAGAAAAAATTGCTGTTAATAAATACATACAGCAACCCTCAAAACTTCAGACAGTAGGTCACTAAAAAATTAACTTAACAAAGGGAAAATCAACATTACAGTGATTAAAACAAGATACTACATCAAATTAATATTGGGTAAGTGTAAAATCACGGAATTTTGTTTATTAAACGAATTTAGAACAGTCATTTTTCAAATGTTCTGGCAGGTCTTTAAAATAATTTATACAATTGAAAACTGTAGCTCGTCCCTCAAGTTCGTAACCAATCGGCGGCAAATTAAAGCATACGCTTATGGTCTTATGAGATTGACGAGGAACAAGAGGGACAAAGACCGATTCAAAAAATAAATTTGTCATGAAAAAGTGACTTATTCATGAATTTCAAATGCTGAAATTTGTACATATCATCCTGTTGTTAAAATTTCGAATGCTTATATAATTCATTGGTGTGAGTAACCGGTATATTGTTGTTGTTCCTAACTCTAAATATTGATCGCAGCCACTTATTAAATAACGTGACAAGTGGTCTTTTGGTATTGATAGATTCACCACTCTAGGTTACTAATATATTTGAAAGTTTAAAGAAAAAACATCAATAAAAAGCGTTTTCAAAGAGGGGCAAGGTAAGACGCTGGATAGAGCATGTAGGAGGATGTGAAGCAGGATGCTTCCTCACAAAAAGGAACACCATAAATCGTACCATCTCTCACAGGTCCTAAATCTTTTGTTATGTCATTGCCAAAAGAGATAAAATAATCGTTGAATTCTGTATCTGTATCGGCGCCAGGCATAAACTTCAATCTTTTTGAGTGCAAGATTCTTCGCAAGTAAGGGGTTAGCAATATTCCATAAAACCATAAAATAAAAATAGTCGTTCAAGTCCTGCAGAATTTTATTCGAGTAGTACTGCTTCTTAGCTGTATTCTATAGCTCATTCAATACATTCTGATAAGTAGAGTAAGACCTACGATAAATTACAGGAGTGCGAGAAAGCTTTAGAAGTTTATGCTTCTTCTTGATAGCAGACTTTATTTCGTCGGTTACCCAACAAGGCCCATGTTTTCTCATCGTGACAAACTTTGTAGGAAAAGATGCATTGTAAATTTTGGAACGTTCTGCCATGCAAGACTGCATTGCAAGGTCAGGTTCATCAATATTAGTTAGAAATACAGAAGTAAAATGATTCATTTTCACCCTAAACTTTTGGATAATGTCAGCATCAATAAGGCGAGTTTTTTCTGATAAATGGAGCAGTCGATAACCCAGTTTCAAAATAAAAGAATGTCATCAAGTGATCTGATAAGCCACAGTCTATAGCGGCTGATTCGGGGCTTGATCCAGGAAATTACACAAAATTTGATCCAGTAGAGAATAAGGCGTAATGGGATTACAGGGAGATTCTGGTTGGTTTAGTAATGACTGGATAAAAATTGCTACAGAGAATTTCATGAATAAAATTGGTGGTTGAACACATTGAATACTGTCCGCACCTTATAATTGAAATTCCAATTATGTTTAACTCACACAATATTCCATATTACTATGTTACTAATCATAAATAAAACAGAATAAAATGAATAATTACAAATAAATTCACAACTGTTGAACATATACACAGCAAAAAAATAGTTATTTGTGTAGGGCAATTCTCAATTTTCACTTCTAATGGCAATTTGTGCCGTACTTATGTCGACGATGTTTTAAGATGTACAATTGTTAAGTAAAACCAAAGGATTATGATGAAACATTTTTGTTTTCTACCTTTCGTCTCACGTTGCAAAACCGATACTTTTTACAACACTTCTCTTTAACTTCACTTCTTGTTTGTCTGTCTGCTACAAATCTTATTATCAATATTTAACCCACTTCTACCTCTCCAATAGATCTGAAATTTTACACACTTGCGTAAAGTTGGAGACAATGCCTGAATCAATTGAGAGAATAAATAATTTTGAAAATATAAAAAATTTTATGTTCGATATTAAAAAAATGAAAAAAAAATTTGTCTGCTCCATAACTTATAAACGATATTTAACACACTTCTACCTGTCCAATCGATCTGAAATTTTGTATATTTGCGTAAAGTTGGAGACAATACATTTATAAATTGGCAGAATAAATAATTTTGAACAATTTAATTTTTTTTAATAAAATTAAAAAATTAATTTTCTTAATATTTCATAATAAAATTAGAAATTCATAGTACATGTGTAACACCGGAGACACTGGATGCTTAAGAAGTGTTGTCTTTAAAAAGTAATTTTTAAATGCATATTATTTGTGCACAAGTTGAATCATTTTCTATGGTCGAGCTACGTCTACGATCATATTCGCAACCACTCAGCAGACTCCGTTCTTTATTAAAATCCTTAAAATACTTTGAAGACAAAGTTGAGTTGAGAATAAATAAATAAATAAAGAAATTAAATAAATAGTTGAGAATACAATTCGTGGGATTCGCTTACCACAAAATAACTACGAAGCTGTTTTCGTCTCACAAGAAAACTGTGGTTCAGTTTTGCTGGTAAAATGATTTGTTCCTATTGATGGTCGGCGACATAAGTGCAATGGCGACCTGAGTTTAATTGGCATTAATTTAAACGATTAATTGATGTTAATTTAAGCGATTAATTGACATTAATTTAAACGGAAGTTTTGCCGAGCAGGAGAAGCGTGTCTCGCGAAGGTGCGCAGCGCGCCGTTCGACGCCGCTGCCTCCTGCGCCATGCGACGCGAGGCCGTCAAAAGGAACATAACTGCCCTTACCAAGGTACTACTACTCGACATAGTACACGTAGTTCTACTGCGTGTACTACTCGACGTAGTGACCGTAGTACTACTATGTGTACTACTCGACTTAGTGACCGTAGTACTACTACGTGTACTACTCGACGTAGTAACCGTAGTAACCGTAGTATTACTATGTGTACTACTCGACGTAGTGACCGTAGTACTACTACGTGTTGTTAGGGAACGTAGTGTAATAGCACTTTTTACAGTTAGATATTTGGATTTTTGATTTTAAGTCACCTCGGAAGTGACCTCGTTCAGATAAGCACCGAAACTTGTTCATTGCTATATGATCCACCACGGAGAAGGGCTCCGAATCTTGAGACCGATAGTAAGAACTTGAGCAAAGGGAACACACGGTTATATTTTGTCTTTATTTGTACTTGTCGTTTGCTTATTATAGTTTTCATTTATCGTTCTTATTCATCCCTTTTTACCACTATACCCACGACTGTGTACTACTTGACGTAGTAACACGTAGTAGTACTACTACGTGTACTACTCGACGTAGTGACCGTAGTACTACTACGTGTACTACTCGACTTAGTACTAATCCGAGCTTGTCTCCTTATATTCGAGCTTTTGTTACGATATTTATCATGTTTACTTCTTATATGATTAATATGCCAAAATAATGCTACATTGATTGTCATATTTCTTGCCATTTGCAGAGAACGCTGAACTCGCATTCATGCAGTAGCCGTTGACAGCAATAGTATAGCATTTAGTGTTTCGTTTACGAAATTATTTGTTATAAATGTAATTTCACGCAAAAGTCGATTAATCGTGTTAAATGACATAAAAAGTACTAATTTCGAAAGTTCTTATTACTGGGAGATATTTAAGACTTCTAGATTTTAAATAACCAGCAATTGAATTTGAATTCAAAGCGGCTTCCGTTTCGCCTGTTTCAACCGCCTTAAAATGTATTCTGGTAATGAACAAACTTGGTTTAATGATAACGAAGAATATAATGTAAAACGAACAATACATTCATTGTATATAAAAATATAACTCAGTACTCACTGCAGTGAGTGACAGAGAGCGCATTTTCTCGTCGACGAAAACTTGAGGTCACGGACAGACGGACGGACAGACAGACAGACAGACGGACTGACAGACATGGCGAGCACAATAGTGCACTTTTTCCATAAATGAGAAAATGCGCTAAAAATGCGTAATTTTGCAGGAAGCGAAAGCACTTGAGCAGCAGGTGCAGACGGTGCGTGCAGAAGCAGCAACGGTGCAGGAGGCGCTGGGCAGGAAGGAGAAGCTGTACAGCAGCTGCGTGCGCCAGCTGCAGCACGCAGCTGTCCAGCTGCAGCAGGTGGTGCTACTCAAGGAGCAGGTGAGTACTTAGTCGTTAACTGTTATTATGTTAACACGAACTTGCCGAACTAATTTATTAAAGAAAAAATCATACAGATTTTCTCTATACTCTCAATTGTTCTTGCTTCTTTCTAAAACTATTTCCCTTGATGCTGCATACAGTTTCATGGAAGCATTGCAATATCATACATCAAAAAGTTGAATGCCTGATTGCGTTTTTTTTGACCGCCGTTGAACACAAATCGGAACTAATTAATGCATTTTGACTCACGATCGAATCGCAAAACCACAACGAAGTCTAACTGTATACATTTGTAGTAAAATCACAAAGAATTGTAACTAAATGCATTTGTCGAAAAGCCACAGAGACAAGAGCAATTGCTACCTAGGCAATTATTTAGTTGAGAAAGTCGGTGTAAATGTACAAGGCAATGCTGCCCATTCTGTAACATTTCGGCGTATCACTCAGGCAAATAAGAGATGCCTTATCCAAATATCGATGGCTAAAATTGTATATCAATATTTCCATAATATGGCCCATTAATTTTTCTGCATGTAGGTTGATAAAGCAATCTACTAACATGCTGTAAACTTACGACGGTAAACTCATATTCAGATTAACTACAGGTCATTTCTATAATTATAGTCCATCTTTCCATTACATATGATGGCCAAAACATCATCGTTGATGATATTATGATGTAAAATCGATATCGTTGATGACATCCCCTGATAAAGATCACTTACGTTGATTTCCAGTGTTGAGGTATCTAAGGTAAAGGTAATGTTTCAAAAATTAGGTGTTAGAGTTCCTCATTTAATATTATTAAAAACAGGCAACAAAAATAAAATTCATTAATGAGGTACAGGAGTTCAAAAATTTTATTTTACATGAAATATGTTAAAATACGCCTTAGAGAAAAAGTTCAACGTATCCTAATTTGTAGAAGATATTTGGAGTTGGTGGCTGGGTGATCAAAATTTAATATCGGGAAAAGCATTAAGGGCGTTAAGTGACGATGATAAATTGCGGCCGGAGATTCGCCCTCCGCAATTTAATTAGCCTAAAATCTGAGGAAATTCCAAGCAGAGCGGAAATGCAATCACATAAAAGAATTGATAATTAAGTTGCTAAATATTAATGAATCCTCTCAACCTTATGCACATCGGTTAAAAATATCTTTGATTAATTCTAAATATATATCTTTAAATATATTATAAACACAGTAGAGTTTAATCAGAAATTAAGTTAGCAGACAATTAGTCAGAAATTAAATTGAATAATTAAATAAACAATTAAGAAGTAAGAAGTTAAATTGAAAAATTAAATAAATTGTTTAGATTGATTAATTACATTAATTTCACTTACATAACTCTTCGTTAGCGATGCGTACACCTGTCAGCTGAGCACGCACGAGCCCGCTACCTGTCAGCGCTGCTGTCCGGCAGCTATAAGCCGCTGACTGCTGCCACCAAGTCAGCTCAGTCAGCGCTACAGGAGCGCCTGAAGAGCAGACAGTCAGCTTACCTAGGCGTGCTGACTCAGCTCTCCACCCATCACCCTCAGCTGACTGATCAGCTTGCACTCATCTACGCATTACTGGAACCCCAGCAGTTTTTTTAGTTTTTAGCTGAATAGAACGCACTACACTTAGTCAAAATGAACACAAGTAACGACTATAATAATGATAAGATAAAAATATAATACTTAATATCAGAATTTAACGCACTGCTCTAAGTCAGAATTAACCGAATCAACAATAACTAAATAATATACTAATATAATAATTAATAACAGAATAGAACGCTCTACACTTGTCCGAAGGAACTGAATAATCTCCATGAGACCATCAGACGTTCTGTTATTAATTCAGGATAGTACATATGTACCCTAAATTGAAATCTTTTTAAAATTTTCTCTCGAACAAACAACTCAAGAAATGTTTATAAGAGCCAGTAAGATATTTTTGGTCTCTTGGGGCTCGTTGAAAAATTCGAATTGCGTTCGTTTTGGTCCTCGTTATATTACACGCGAAGTATATTCATAGGTATAATATGTAGGAATAATTTTTCTAGAACGTGTTAAGCAAACTCGGATTTGAAGTGGCATGTGCTCCGCGTTGAGAAGAGGCAAGAAATTTTTAAAATCTAATTTTTTTTGTTCATGATGATTAAACTATTTAAAATAATCTTTTAACTTCAGCTTATGAGTGTCTCGGTAAGCTACAGTTGACAGCAAATTGAGAACAATTTTGTCTTTGGCATATGGATTTGGATACTCCCATGTCTTCAAGCCATTTCTTATTTTGCGCAACTCATTTCATTTTCAATCACTATATATTTGCTCCAGAACTACACCAGTTACTAATTAGCTCTAGGATAAAGTTGTTTCAATCTACTATGCCTTAGCATTGATAGTGCAATTCATTATCTAGTTGATTCAATTGTAACTAAATGTTTTTAGGGTCTTAGATGAAATAAAATTTTCGAATGTCTCTTCCATCAAGACTTCCTATAGCATTTCCTCAAGGCTAGAGGCCTAAAACTATTTATTAGGAAATTGTACCTGAAAATTTTTATATTCTGATATCTGATTCTAATTACAAATTTAAGCAACTTTAGAATTGATTTTTTGGGTCCGCATTATTTGAGCCTAGCTAATTAAAAAAATTCTATACCTGCTTTACAGGGTTCTAGGTAAGCTTCAGGGATCTAGGTAAGCTTCAGGGTTCTAGATAATCTTCATGGTTCTAGATAAGCTTCAGGGTTCTAGGTAAGCTTCAGGATTCTAGGTAAGCTGCTTTACAGGGTTCTAGGTAAGCTTCAGGGTTCTAGGTAAGCTGCTTTACAGGGTTCTAGGTAAGCTTCAGGGTTCTAGATAAGCTTCAGGGTTCTAGATTTGCTTCACGGTTATAGATAAGCTTCAGGAGTTCTAGGTAAGCTTCTTTATCACAGACGTTAAATTGAATACATAAAGCCTAACAATCGCTAATTAGTACAGAACGCCAATAAATATTTCTTCAAGTTTTTGTTCAATATTATTTTACATTTTATCATAAGATAAAGCATAATTTTATTTTGTGGTAAAACATCAAAAAAGGTAACCCACATGTCAGACATTGAAAGTACAAAATTAAGATGAAAGAAAGATGCATTAATGGGAAATCGTTTAAAAAGATAAATGTTGGATTTCCAAACAACATTCTTTTGTGTGATATATTGTCGAATTAAAATTTTTTCTACGCAAGCAAATTAATTTATATATGTTTATTCGCATCCAAATACGAAATCCGCCGATCATATAAATAGATTAAGATTTTGAACAAATATGCAGTTCATCACAGGAACTTTTCATCGTGAAATTCTCTTTAGATCCTGCGAGTTGAAATTTTTGGACGTTGAAAACAATCTATCTTGTTATCACTAGTCGCCATAGCCGACTTAAAGCACGAAAAACCTTACGATATTATAAGACTGTCAGTTCTTTACTTATTATAAGACTTTTCTTTTTTTAAGTCTCTTAAAAATAAGACTATTTTTAGGTCTCTTAAAAATAGTCGTAACTTGGGCGGCATAAAACAGCGCCGGAACAAATGGGGTTATAAATTTGATGATAAAAACTCTTAAGACGAAAATATCGCTACGTCAATCATAGAAATTCTGGTGGCAATGATCCAATCGATCTTTTTGGCCATTTCTGCCTAAAATTTGACGCGCTAATTAACGTTTTTAATAAAATGGCCCTGCAAACAAACTAGCAAAGGAACCACCGAAATTTTTGTTATAATTATTCCACATTATGCCTATAGCTATTATAGAGTACTGCTTGTACAGTTCGAGATAATAAATCCTTAAACTGCCTCGAAAATTCATTCATTTTCTCCTTTACATTAAACGATTGGCAGATTGATGGCAACATCGAGAAAATCGATTTAAAATAGAAAGCAGTTGTTTTACTAGGTTTGTAAGACGCGCGCTCTAACATCCTTCTATATTTCATGCCCAGCCTGCAGACAACTTTACGACATTGCGATCTCCCCAGGGCGAAGCTCAATTTTCCTTCAAACCCTCATTCAAAAACATATTAACTCTTTAGTTTTGAAATGTGAAGAAATATTTATGAGAAACTGTAACTCGTTCCTTTAATTTGCGATGTTCACTACGATTTGCAGTCGCTGTAGCAAAAATGTTTAAGTAATGAATAAAAAATAAACGGTAAACGTTTGAAAAATGTGATAGTGAATATTCTGAAAAATATAGAAAAATGCACATGGAAGCGGAAAAGAAAACAAGAGTAAATGTATATAGAATTAATGTCTCATATGTGAAACACGAATTCAAAATGAAAAGAATCAATGGTTAATTGTTAAAATGTAAAATAAGAAGAAAATGTCTATAAATTTATTACAAAATTTTTGTTCAGTATCCAAAAAAATGTGTTTGAAAAATGTTCAGAAATGAAATGAATAATGTAACGAAAATATCTAGAGAACACATATTGAATATCTAGGAAATATACTGAAAATTTACCAAAAATATACAAAAAATAAATATATAATCTACGTTATTCTACGAAAATAGTCGATAAGATTTAGGTAGGAAAAATTTACGACGTATTGCAAGAATATATGAGAAGAAAAATGAAAAACTTCTACCATGCCGCGGTTGAGGCGAATATCTCGTCTATCTATAAGTAATGTTCGTTCAGGCTTGCGTGTTAAAGTTGAGGTCGTCTCATCAAGATAACATTCATGTTTAACGGCTAAATATTCTTGTTGAGTCTTTCAGCTAATTTATACCAGATGCTGATGAATTTTACGAAAAATATGCGCTTTCATCAATACTTTAAACTTTGTGTGGAAGATATTAAAATCTTTTCAAGATTTTATAAGAAGATAATGTTTTTTTATTTAAATCAATTTGATTCTTCGAATTATTATAATGGAATAACGCGTTAAAATTCTCTTGGTAACTTTTGCAGTGCGTGTAAAGCTTTCATTTATATTTCTGCATCGACGTTCCGAATTAGTTTATATACATGATTATTTTTTAAAGATAACAATTTACATTTTATGAAGTACGACTGGATTTTTCCTACAAAAATACCGAAAGCTTCGTCGCCCTAAACTGCCAATTGCAATTAAATTTAAATTTTGCTCTAAAAATAATTTCTTTTATCTGTCCACAAAATATTCCTTTAAACTTTATTTAAAAAGTCTTTTGTAAAGTGAATTCCATTGCAATTACTCGATTCAAAATCGACCTTTCCAACATAATTTTACCTTCAGGAGGTCTTCAAACTCTTCCACGTGAAGATCAAACCTCGCAAAAAAAAGTTAGTGGAATCAAATAATTAATTTAGACTTGATTTCCGAGTCACTCGAAATTGAAGCCTTAAAATCTTTGTCTAAATTCAACTATGAAATTCCAAGGCCGACTACGAATTAAATTTCGCGAGTTTGGCATTCCTGACAATGCGTCGATGTAAGGCACTCTGAAACTCTAATGTTGAGATTGCGCGGTACTGCGTTCCAGATATATATATTATACTGTGATATAAAAACAAATGTAAAACAATGGCGTGTGGTGCAAAATGCAATTTTTCTAATCAAAGAACATTCAGAAATGAAAAGTTTCCTTCTCTGGTAATTTATTCTCAAACATTAATAAGTAAAAAGCTAAAAAAAACACATCGTATATTTTTTAATATCTAAAAAAGGCGATCATAATCATAATTAATTTAGTTCGAGTTATCTTCTCGTGAACATTAGCTAGGTTACTCGTATTTATAAGTGTGCATGTAGTTTTTTTATTGCTGCCAATCCTTAAGTTAATGAGAACTTAAAACCTCTGCTGCTAACCTTGAATAACTGATTTGAATAATTTCTTCTCTGGGGATTCAACTGATTCCGCTTTATTTGAAAATAACTAATAAAAGAAAACCCACAGCGCAAGAATATAAATCATCTTATACACGATATGAAGAACAAAAAAGAATATAGACTAGGCTAAATTTAAGATTACCTGCAGCTGTTGCCATAGAGTTAAAAGAACTAAAAAGTCAATTATAATATTCAGGTAGCTAACACGCATTAATTACTTGGAATAGATGACCAAATAACATACTAAATAAAAGCTTGCAACAAAATCTCATCGATAAAAGCTATGCCGTTTTTCTTGGTACAAAGAAAAATTTGTTTTCCTCTCTATTTTATAAAGTTCTTTTTTATTCAATCATTATCGTAAATGACAATCGGTCAATAACAAATGATAGTTGGAAATGCACCATAATTAGAGTCAAAAGTCACTAAACGCCTTGATCGCTTGTACTATTTTTCGCTGAAGTTCGAAGTACCTTAATTAAGAAGAAGCTAACTTAAATCCCCATAGTTTCACCGTAGCGAACTTTTTTGTTAAACTTTCCTAGGCTGTGAACTTCTAGTGAGGACTTAGATAATTATTAATTTTTCAGGATAACTATGAAGCTGTTACGATCAAAACCTACAAGCCGACCATCATCATCAACGAAGATTTCTTCTACATCGACGACTTGATAATCTCACTTGATAAGAATATAATAATCTCTCTCACTTGATAAGAATTTCTGAAGATTTTTACATGATACCTATTAGTAATAAAGTTGGGCAAAACCAATTAAAATATTACAAGCAAAAGTCGTTAAGCTAACGAGAACTACTAGAATTTTTCAATGGATATGTGTATGAAAGATTCAGTCATCAACATGTTATATATTAATTAATGCGCGAATGAAAATAATACGCCAATAATAGATGCTCGAAGAAGCAGGTAACAAAATTCACTATTAGACCCAAATGCCGCTAGAGATGAAATTAATTATTAATGATGAACTCATAGGTGCTTTCTTTTGTCCAAAAACGAATCTCTCAGATATTCCTAACGTTGCCAATTTCCAGCCCAAACGTCGGAACGTTTCGTTCGTCGTCGATCCTCTGGTCGGGGACGTTGGCGTTGCTGCGTCGACTGCAGTTTTCCTGTACAACAATATTTTCTCAGTTTATAATTGCGAAAATATAAATTAGGCCAAATAATTTTCAAAGTAATCCACCCTTCAATCAAGTTAAACTACTTACAACTTTTCATATGCTCGGTAACCAGATCACCAAACCAAATTTTCGTGAGTTTTCATATTTTGAGTAAACAGATTACCAAACCAAATTTACACTTTCCATCCGTTCGATTACCGCATTACCATACCAAACAAGGAACAATCAAACTTGAATTTGGCCAATATCAAACCTGCAATTTACAGTGAACAATTCTTTTAATCATAGATCACTTATAATTTATGAGTCTTCCTTCAAGTATTGTAATAATAACACACAATATTTAAGATGTGGAGAGTTAATCATGGACCTCATCTTCATTGCTCTTTTAATCACAGATCATTTAAGTTATGCACCTCCCTTCATTTATTTTAATCCTAACACTCAGCATTCCCGATATTAAGAGATAATCACGGAACTCATCTTCGTTGCTATTTATGCACCTCCCATCAGTTATTGAATCATAACACTCAACATTCCCCATAATAAGAGTTAATCACTTGCCTCATCTTCACCGTTGGTCTTTTAATCACAGATAATTTTTAATTTATACACCGCCCATGCACCTCCCATTTAATTTATGCACCTCCCATATTAAGAGCTAATCACTTGCCTCATCTTGACCGTTGCTCTTTTAACCACAGATAATTTTAAATTTATGCACCTCCATTAATTTATTTTAATCATAACACTCAACATTCCCGATATTAAGAGCTAACCACTTGCCTCATCTTGACCGTTGCCACAATCGAAGACGCCGTCGCACACGAACTGCCGGGGCACGCAGCGGCTGCCGTCTGAGCAGGCGAGCGCTCCAGGCTTGCATGTCAGAGCACGGCGGGTTCTAGCAGGCACTCCTAACGCTGAAAAAATTATTATTAGCTTTAAAATATTTTATAATTGTTGAATAAAATGTTATTTTATACTTAATTTTATTGGTAATTTTTTATAAATGCCTATGTAATGTTATACAAATAAAAAAGTGAAAAATATTAGAGGAGTTTTTGGGCAACTATTTTTAATTGAGGCTATACAATTAAATATATACGATAAAAACACAATTCAAGAAATTTTTTTAAGAATATTTTAGTATTTATGCTACAAATACTGATACAAAATATATGTTACAGCTGCATTTTATTTAACACAAAGCATTGCTTGACTGCAATATAATTCATATTTATTACTCTCTGAAAACATTGTTGAATTCCACCCGCATTTCTTTTCAGCGGTATTTTAATTAGGCGAACTATCACTTTTCTCCGCTGCGGGGAGTGATGGCTTTCTGGCTGTGAATAATAAGGCTTGAATATGTTTGAACTGAAATATTTTGAATAATCTCTGGAATAAAAAAATAGAATTTTTCTAATATTAGTCACAATGCATTTTTTTATTCAAAATTTGTATAGTCGGAATACCCACATCTATAGTGCTTTAATCTGATGTGTGATTATTATCAAAAAATATTTGATATAATCCTCACATTTTTCCCGGCTGTATTTGCGTGTCTTTTCACCTTGAATACCATTAACCTCATAGTTTGCTTATCAGGAGATTTCATCATGAGGTATTTTATATAGGATATGTCTCGCATGACGCAATATATTTACAGGGAGAGACCTGCTCGATATTTTACGAACTTCCTGCAAGTGTCTCAAGGAGCTATAAAGTGTCAGACGCCGGGTTCAACCTGACGCTTTTTGGGTCTTCTAAAGACCTGACTTTCTGCCTCAAACTTTCTCAGTTAATGGCCATTTTAGTGGTACTAATAAATTTGCTACAGAACTTGGCTGAAATAAATGCAGGGAAGTGCAATGAAGCCTTCTTCTGACGGAGCATAACACTCAGATAAATCAACAGGTCACATTTTCTCACATATTGACAAACTTTCTCGCTCATATCACGAGCAGAAAGTGAATTTAGTAGCACTGAAACGCATTTTTTTTTTCAGCCAAACTGGGTTTGAATGACACACAATAGGGCAAAAAGTCTCAGCCAATCCTAGTCTGGGCTGACCCAGATCGGCTCAGCAGAAGTTCGTATCAGTGTTGCGTGCAGGAAATGAGTCAATCCTTGGACAATATATATAGAAATATATAGCGGTTTCAGCTTTTATTAGGCCGTAGGCCTGTCGCCGATTCTTAACATCGCAGAACATTCACAGCTTGTTGCGGTCTCGAACTCGCAACTTACTGCTACAATTCTGCTGTGCTAAACCGCCCGGCCTCCTCGCCGATTCTGACCAGAAACTGGCGCACAGAGCTGGGATCGAAGCCGCGCTTCTATGCTCCAATCCTGGTACTCTGAACTGTAACCACTGGGCCACCCTGCCTATGTAGGACCAATTCATTTTCCTGAGTGGCATGTGCAGTTTTTTGACTCACCAACCCCGACGAGGAGCACGAAGAGAAGAATGAAGCAGATAACCTTCATATTTGTATCTTGATTCGCGGTCTTCTTTTCTGAAAATAATTAATCAATTAATGAAGCACAAATATATCGCGACTTTTATGCTCCACGCAACGAAATTTTGCAATGCTTCTTGGAGACTTTTTAAGTATTTTGATCGTTTGATCACAGATAATAGATGTAAAATAATAAAATTTCTCTAAATCTCAAATAGGTAGGTATTACGTCGATTAGAGAGATATTATATCAGTATATAACTATAAAATATCAGCTTTGAACTGTAATGACGCATCGGAATTCGAGTCTAAAGTTACACGATATTAAATGGATGGCTCATAATACCCTTCACAAACATGTGTGCAGCCTTTCATTAATGCTAATAAGCATTTAAAATTTTCACTGTTGATTACAGTAGTTCACTTCATAACGTTTCTATTTAATTCTCTATTCCCAAGTATCATGAATTTGCTCGAAATTATTTCAATTTTTCTCGTATATGTCGAGATGCTTGAAAATGAGACAACAACCGAGTTCGCCAATAATTTTACTATGTTAGCCCCTCGCCCCTTGACTCGCGTTAATTTTATAAATAACTCTGAATATTGCGTGCCGTATCCATGCAATTATTCTGTCAGCATAAGTATAGGCTTTGCCAACGGAGACAAGCACGATGCTGCTGCACTTACAAGCAACGCCACAGGACATATTACGTATCAGGATTATTAAAAAGCCTTGGGTCTTCAAGAAATTGTAGTTTAGGCAATTCTATGAAGAAGCATAAATTAGTAAGAGATTACTTCGTTCGCCTTTAATAAACATTCATTTTCCATTTAATCCCTAACAACAACCTTTACAATGGTGCCACTCTAAGAACTGTGTTGTTCATTCATTCTCCTGAAACATTGAATTAAAAATTAAAAGAAGTTATTGAACAATGTTATATGACAGTAAGCTCTCCCTAACATACTAATTTGGCTTGAGTTGCAGTGTATCAAAACACTGTCCATCTTCTTCAAGGATCTTACGGGATTTTTTATCTAAGGCAAAAATTTTCGTGCAATGTTTCTCAATGTACTATTGAACGGGATAAGATCTCCCCGCCTAACTGCATCGCTTTATAATGACTGTTTAAGCGAAGAGAATAATTTAGTATTAGAATTGTTCACGTTGGTGGTATGCTTCATTAAAAAGATCTTGCCGCATCAGAAAATATCGCAAAAATATTTGACGCCGCAGATCCGGTTTGCGGCTTGCATGCCTTAATTAAATTAAGTTATTAGGTATTTTTGTTTGGCAGCCTCACATTTAGACTCATAACATGGGGCGTGATTGCCGATTTAAAGCCTGAGCTATCTAAAATTATTGAGATATTCTGCTCGGTTCTTCTAAAGAAATTGTTACTAAACAGGAAAGTGAAGTAACTTAGGGTATAAATTAGCCTGTGCATGTTTTTCTCATACCCACATCATGACAAACAGTTACTCACTCAAATCGAGATAAAGTCACTCACAGTTCCACTCACTTACATAGTGACAAACTCACTCACAGTTCGATTGAATTCACAAGGAATTTCAGGAAATTCAATTTCCATCTCACTTCGCTTGAGTTATTTGGAGGAGCGCGCTGGCTATGCATGCATGCACATTGCACGCTAGTGTCGCAGTCTTTACAGCAAATAGATCAATTATGGGACGGGCCATGACTCACCTAAGTGGGTCATCCAGACCCACCCATTTCTCTCAGTGAAGAGTCAACATAACGGTATTTTTACGGAGCTTAACACACATACAGAATTTGTTGTACTTTAATTTTTCAATTCAATTCGTATGTTTTAAATTGGTTCTTTTTTATCGTGGTCAGTTATGGAAAGATCGGGTTCCTAAGGCCGGATCCCTTGTGAATCAAGTCACGAAAAGTACAAGAACCGGCAACAGGCCATGGGCCTATTTCTTCAGTGCCGATACTTCTATTCTATTAAATAATTTCGATTCGCTTTCAAATTTCATGGAGCGATAATACTGCTTAATCGGAAAGACTATATTATATTATAAATTTATTATATTATATTATAATATATTATATTATATTATATTATATTATATTATATTATATTATATTATATTACACTACATGATTCTAAATTACATTATATTATACTATTGCATGTCTGTTAATAATGATACTAAATATTTCGGCCATCATTTTAATTCTGCAACTATTTTTAGATGCACAGTAGGAATTCCTTTTACCCAATTTTCATAATTTATATATTTTATACGTTCACTCATGCTTTTAGTGCTAATAGAATAGCAAGCTTTACACACGCTCACGCTTTATTGATGCATTAAATGAAAGTAGCGTAACAATTTTATCATCAAATTAATAATTTCGGTAATTTTGAAGAAACGGCTTCTAATGAAAAGAAAAAAATGTAATTGCATCGAGGCTATTAACAGCACAATACAATGCACCAGTCACAATTATTTTTTGTTTTACCATTTATTTTGAAAATAGTGAGTTCAACTAATGTTGCGGCAAAAGTTTTGCTCGTAAAATGCGTGCGTGCTTATAAATGCGTGCGTACTATATTTTTTATATTACGTTGCATAAGTGAAAGGCTCGACGCATGAATGATGTCATCGGGGCATCGGACAAGAGGTCAGCGCGGCCTTTCATGGCGGTTAATTTGGTATACATTGCGGCTAAAAACTAACGCCTAAATAAATAACTGTTATTCTGTGGAACTTAACTAAATTACCCTAAATATTTCAGTTTTCAACTAGGAAATAACGGCTTCACATATATTCAACCATCTTTTGAAAAAATTTCCTGTGTTAATAAATTTATATCCAAAATTAACTTATAATAATCTTCTTTGCGATAGAAAACTTTTTGAGCTACCTCGATGATATTTTCATCTCAAGCGTAGGTTCTAGGGAAATCCGGAGACGCAGCACAGATGTCACGTCAAACGTGACTGAGGATGCATTGCATGCCGAGCGTGCATCGGAATTTCCTCTGAATAATGGAGTGCCTGAAAGCTTTCACTCTAACGTTGTTTGACCTTCGATTGCGGCTGCATTCTTTGAGTACGCAAAATATTTGGGGTAAACAACACTCTTATGCTGATCGGTACTAGGGTAAATTTGTCATCACGTCCAGTGTAATATGCATTCTAATTAAGCAACTTATTACTTGTCAATTGCAATTTGACATAACACAGACAAGCTCCAGCTTACACAAACAACCTTCGAGCATACGTAAAATGCGTTAAAAAGTATCTATCTGCGTTTAGAAAATATGGAGTTTCTGAAGCCATGTTATCCTATCAAAAAAAGGAGCAAGTTTGGGAATAATATTGAAGACTATCAGATCTTCATTGAGGTTTACAAGTAAAGTCACTTCTCGATTGTTTTATATACTAATTTTTTAATCAGTTTGCCAATAGTATTACGCAAGCTGGGTACGCGCGTTGCATGACACTAGACCGCTAAACTAAAAGTCGAGGCCATCCTAAATTACAGACTCTAATACTAACGGACTCACACACTTCACGGCCTTCGAGGTGCTCGGGAAGTAAAGCGAGTATCAATCTATCAATTTAATCAATCATTTAAATTTTAATCAATCTTTCAATTTCATCAATTATTTAACTTTCAGTCAATCATTTAAATTTCAGTAAATCTTTCAATTTCATTAATCGTTTAAATTTCAATCAATCTTTGTCAAGCAACTTAGAAGATAATAAAGGGTAGCATTCAACCGAAAATAGTTTATCGTTTTTAATAAATACACTTGGGGTAACTCACTCTTTATTGTGCACGAAGACTTTTCCGTAAAATTAATGTAATGTTCATAAACATAACATTTTTTAAACTCTTAATTTTTCTCTAATCGTCCCTGAGCAATGTCTTTTTCAAATAAAGTAATTTCAATTATTCACCAAATAATACAAAAAATTATTGTAATATGTAAAATATAGTTTAGCGAGAAAATTTGATTACTGTGATCCAAAAGTTGTACTGATGCTTCCAAATGAATAAAACCTGCTTCTTGTATGTCTTGTATGTGCCACATGCATGTTTCTTATTTGGTTTATATCAAAATCATAAAGAAGATCCTTATTTGCCATGACATCAGCGCTTATTTTAATCTATCAAATGATCAGTTATCGACTTCAACTGTCAAGGCTGAAAACTTCGGCGCAGAATTCTGGTAGCTCATTATTTTGCTGTTTTAATTTTATAGTCTGTAAGCAGTAGCTTGAATTTTTTCACTGACATTATTGCATACATTCTTCTACACAATGAAAAATTTGGCAAGATCATGCATACACATTCGATACATGTAAATCATTCACGGGGAACTCGACAGCATTGCTTCACAAATCCGAACAAATACATTCCCACAACTTACAGCTAGCAAATAAAAGTCATCCCTCACCTGTATTTAATGAGATCCACACGACACCTTAGCTCAGCGATCTGCTTCTTGCAACTGCAGCGGTTGTCAACTGCTCGCAATTTTTATATGCGCGAGTGACGTCACTCATGCACATGAGTGACGTCACTCTACTGGCCAACCAATCAGGAGATCGCAGTGAACGGTAACGAAAGATAAATTCTAGCTATGCTTCTCAACATTAAATTTGTTGTTATTTTTACATGCACATAGGTAAACTAAGTTTTTTTTTTCAAGTTTTCACTTATGCTCCTAAGTAGTTTCTTTAGGCGCTTATCTCTTTCAGAGAAAACTCATTCATTCATAAGCTTATTTTTATTGAGATTTTTCTCGTTTTCCAATTATATCTTTAAAATGGTTCTGAACCTATACGAGCTAAATATTTATTTTAACACGTTCGACTTTACCTTTTTATTCGATATTTTCATTACACCCTCAACAGCTTGCAAGGTGAACATTGCAAACTGGTTCCTTTTTATCTGCAGTCCAGAATATCGTAACTAATAATTATCTGCTAGAGAACCGGGTGCCACTGCTGGCTGGCTCGTCTGGTTGCGTGCACAGATACAAAAAAGTATAATAGCTCAAAAGCGAGGGCTCGTATATTGGATGAAAAATAGACTCTGGCGATGCTTATTTTACGAAAACATTCCAAAATATTTCAGAACAAAAGTATTCATCAAACCATTATTTTGATGAACAAATTTTATCGATTTTCATTCTTTATCATTCATCTATTATTTCTAGTTTCTTCATCATATATGCCCAACATCATCATCTTCATATTATATGCCCAATATCATCATTTTTATCTGATGTGTTGTCACATGGAAAGCAATAATGTGAGAAAATTTTCAAAAAAAACTAGTTTGTAAATAGTGTAATGGGGTTAAGATTGCAACATTTCCTGCTGTAATTTTTTTATTATTTGCAAAGACAGATGACAGGTAAACCAATATTCAGAACCACACTTAAGTAAAAATCACACACTCATACCTGTCAGCACAAATGTAAAATCAATGACGATATTCGCGCGAGCGAATTCACGGTGCAGTGGCAGTAATATTTGTACTATATGTTATTTTATGACTAACAAATCAGTTTTCAGCAATTTTCTATGCACAAAACGCGGTTGTTCATGCATAAAATACTCTGCACTATCACAAAGCGAACACATTTTTTCGAGAAAAAAATCCGTAATTGAGCAGCGAGTCATCTTTGGTCAATATTTTAGATGATCACAAACCATATGCTTATAATAAATATAATAAACAGCTGTCTGAGTACCTGGCACTGCCATTCAGGTTGTATTATGTGTAGCCAGTGAAGCCTTCTATACAACGCACGCACAAAACAGGTTAACCAGAAATAACAGGTTAACGCTGCGACGAGCAGGTTACCTCGACGTTGCACACGAATCAAACATTTTAGAAACAACATCTGGAGGCCAAAACATGGCCCATCAGACAGAGAAACATGAGCACAAAACCTAGGATATAGTGAAACGTACGAGACGTATCTTGAGCTTCAAGTTGACAGTGACAGTCATTGTATCGTTGGTACAATAATGTACCATTGTAGGGGAGATAACATTGTATAGTAGATACCGTAATATAGAAAATACCATTGTAAAGGAAATTCTATTGTGTAGGAGATACCATAGTAAAGGAGATACCATTTTAAAGGAGATACCATTGTAAAGGAGATACGATTGTAAAGGAGATACCATTGTACAGGAGATGCCGTTGTATAGAAGATAACATTGTATATTAGATACCGTTGTTTAAGTGATAGCATTGTATAAGAAATACCATCATATCATCAAATACGAGATACCGTTGTATAGAAGATAACATTGTATATGAGATACTATGATATTGTTTTTCATGCCGGGTACCTGCTTCTTGATCCGCGGTCTTCGTTCAGACCTAAAAATCTGGAAGATAGCAATGAATTAGAAACGAGTTATGTAAATTGCATAATTGTCTAAACAATTTTCCTGCTTCTAGCCCTCTAACCTGAAGCATATTAATGAAAAACTAGTGCGGAATGTAATTACTATAGTAATATGTAACACAAAAATAATTTTGCAACATGGAGATCAAGATTTTGGAAGATATTTAGAGCTTTCTAATGCTCAGGACGGAACTTTATATACGATAAATTAGGTGCATATATTGTGCAGTAAATACGGTAGATATTTAGGATATTCAGTAGTGAATAAGTTAAATATTTAGGACGTTAAATTATACCCTATTACCAAACGCACGATTAAAATATTTTGCGTTTTAATCTTGCAAAACATTAGCACCGCAAAATTTGAGTCGCCATAAAAATCAAATCCTTATTCGTTTTTTTTAATACCTTAGCCAAATTTTGCGTTATATTATATTAATTTTTACGTGTTTATTTCTAATCCATGCAAATCATCAGAAAAGTTGCGATATTTCCCGTGCTTTCATGGCTCGAAACTTCCCAGCTATAAATTTATGTGCCTATAATATTTTCACTCATCATCTCATCCTCGCCACTTTATGAGTAGATATGGAATATTCCAATGGCACCGTCTGATATAATTCCAGAGACTTCGAAGCCTACGTAAAAATATGATAATTTGTGAACTTTCCTTATCGACGAATTACCGGAGCTATTCGCCTTGAAAATCCCGCTTTGACAGTTGGAACAACTTTTGCATGCTCGTTAAACCGCCCCTGCCTCGGATTCGTGGGATCTGGATCCAGGCTTTTTTGGCTAAATTTAGTGTTGTGTGGGCTGGATATATTGGCTGCGTTGGCTAAATTTACTGTTGTGTAGGCTGGATACATTGGCTGCGTTGGCTAAATTTACTGTTGTGTAGGCTGGATACATTGGCTGCGTTGACTAAATTTACTGTTGTGTAGGCTGGATATATTGGCTGCTTTGGCTAAATTTACTGTTGTGTAGGCTGGATATATTGGCTGCTTTGGCTAAATTTACTGTTGTGTAGGCTGGATATATTGGCTGCGTTGGCTAAATTTACTGTTGTGTAGGCTGGATATATTGGCTGCTTTGGCTAAATTTACTGTTGTTTAGGCTGGATACATTGGCTGCGTTGACTAAATTTACTGTTGTGTGGGCTGGATATATTGGCTGCGTTGGCTAAATTTACTGTTGTGTAGGCTGGATATATTGGCTGCGTTGGCTAAATTACTGTTGTGTAGGCTGGATATATTGGCTGCGTTGGCTAAATTTACTGTTGTGTAGGCTGGATATGTTGGCTGCATTGGCTAAATTTATTGTTGTGTAGGCTGGATATGTTGGCTGCGTTGGCTAAATTTACTGTTGTGTAGGCTGGATATATTGGCTGCGTTGGCTAAATTTACTGTTGTGTAGGCTGGATATATTGTGTTGCGTTGGCTAGCTTTTCCCTTGTGTATAGTCGGGATTTATTGGACTACGCTGAGCGAATATTCTGGTGAGTCAGCTGGTACAGTATTAGGATATTATTTACCGAGTTCTGAATGACTTTGTTGTGCTATTTATGCTTGAGATGCATATTAGTGAGCCTGCATTGAAACATGATATGTTGAATTAATTAAATAACGCGACTACATGTTAGGTTGCGGTAATATGGATCTGAATGTTAATTGTTGAGAACTGATCATACGGAGCTGAGAAGAGCAGATAAATAGGGAATCTTATGAAAATTAATTTGAAGTGCTTAGGCTATACTATTAGGCCAAAAATATCAATTAAAAATATCTTATATGATAAATCAATTCTTATGAACCGTTCAGCTGAAAGTATATCAATTTATCGATATATTTGAATGTATATCAGTATCAATAAATCAATCAAACCTTAATATCATTCACTACCTGAATTCATTAAGCAGATCATTGATATATCGATCTTTTTTCTTGCACTGCTCCCTGAGCATCGTAGACTCCTTCACCGAAGTTCTGAGCGCCTTGCGAGCCTGCAAGTAGGCACCCGTAAGTTCTGCGATCTGGGTTCTCAATATTAAATGGTCGTTCTCGAGTCTCTGGTTGATGGTACCAATGGTAGCGCTGCTCTTGCGCGCCTCTTGTTGCAGGTTCTTCTTGGTACGAGCAAGTGCATCCAGGTCTATCAGCAGAGCTGCCCGTTCATTGGCTAGTGTTCTGCAAGAGTTTCGAGTGGATTAATTTACAGCTAAATGATATTAAATGGGATTATATGAAGTAATTGGAGCTTGTTTGAAATTTAAAGTATCTCTAACGTTGGATGGAGTATAACGAGTAAGCAAGTTTTGCTAAACAAGTTCATTCGACTAGCATCAAATTAAGTGTAAAAAGTTTTGAATTTCTGAATCAAAGGAATATGCATCTGAAAATATATCTTTGCTATATCATTCATTTTACCGCATTCACTGAGCCTATAAACCATAAGGTTAAATTTTCTAATGTCATATAATTTACTTCAACTCTCGACAGCCATGAAATTACCCAATTACAGTAGCTCTATACAGGCATTGCGTGCACGATGCATGTATTCATGTTAAATAAAACATTAATTTAGAACAACGAATGCTAGCAACCGCCAGACTCAAGTCTATTACGTTGTATCTATGTTATCTGCTGAACGCGTACGCACAAATCGTGTAAGAACAATAAGAATTGTACGAGTTTTAGAATATCAGATAAATTTTCAATTTTAAGATTGAGCTGTTATTAAGTGAACTTCAGCGGAGCAAGATTATTCTGTTCAGTATGATGAAATACGAATTCAGTTCATCAGTCACTCATGACAGTCGGCAAATTGTTCACCTACACAGGCCATTCAGCGCCGTACTCACCTACACAGGCCATTCAGCGCGGTACTCACCTACACAGGCCATTCAGCGCAGTACTCACCTACACAGGCCATTCAGCGCAGTACTCACCTACACAGGCCATTCAGCGCAGTACTCACCTACACAGGCCATTCAGCGCAGTACTCACCTACACAGACCATTCAGTTTGCTGAGTTTTCGCTCCATGATTTTATGCAAAGCTTCGCCTTTAGAAATTTTCCTCGTGCGCCGCTTCACCAATTTATCCTTCTCACTGCGCACGAATGTCGAGGAAATTAATTACCGGGAATCTATAATTAAAATTCTTCTATTTTTGCTGTGTCTTAAATACGTAGCGCATCTACGAAAATTGTTTGACCTCAAATGAGTATCATTGTTTTATATCAGTGATTACTCATCCAAAAACTACACTCCTCGAAAATTGTTATTTATGGATAAACAATATGCTAGGTTGGAGTATTATTTAATCAAGGGGATAAAGTAATGCAATTATTGATAACGTAGCGTGCTTCGAGTCCATATAGTGAATGAGAGGTTCAACGTATCCATCTTTCATCCATCTTTCAACCTAAACTATTGCTTTAACATAAAAGCAATAGTTTAGGTTGAAAGATGGATGAACGATGAATACGTTGAACCTCTCATTCACTATATGAGAGGTTTAATGTCCATTCGATTCAACCTAAACTATTGCTTCTATGCTAATTATGTATTGCAGTATTACAAAATAACTGAATTCTCACTTGAGAGACTGCGTTAGCTTCTTGACAGTTTGCTCTGCAGCCGAGAGCTTCTCAGCCTGCAGCTCCATGGCGCTCTGCAGCTCTGCAGCCTCCTTCTGCTGGTCCTGCAGACGAGCCTTACACTGATCAAGGTGCCTGAAAAAAATTAAAATTGGGTTTTTATCCTGCTAAGTTGCGATGAATTAATTAAAATCGCAAGTTGCCATTGGATTACATGGGGAAAAATGAATGTTTTTGTCAAACATTGTGATTGGAGATTTCTTATCGTTTAGCCATGGTAGTTTCCAACTCATGTTATGAAAACTTGGCAACAGTAGAGTAATGTAATTACCAATTAGATATTTATAATGCATTATTTTATAATTGAATGTATTAAATAATTTATTTCATAGAAATTCAGCGCATGTTATTACATAAATATTCTCGAATTCATTTATACTATTAAACAGAATCTGTTATCTAATATGCGTGATCTTGAACAGCAGCATAACACAAGATCTTCAGAGATCACAAAATTTGATGATAGACTGTGACATTTAACAGAAAAAAATCGAGACCGGTTTGTGGTAAGATTTAAGATCGCTGGGATTGTCTCAAGGGATTTGTTGAATCTAAAATCCGACGTAATAAATCGCACCAGAAATAGATCTGTGCCTCCTAAATCAAGGCTGCTTGCCTCGTTTTCAATTTCTTTTTTCCTCTCCCATATTTCTAATGCGGCGAGAACGGGAAAATATTACAATTTACAAACCCCATGTGTATATGAGATAACAAAAGAAACAGAAAGGTTTGTAACTGAAACTAAGCTAGGTACCTTTTTTGCACATCTGTACTACGAATCATGTCTTATATAAATAAATTATACCGTTTTATCATTTGTGTGATATCTTATTCATAATGCCTTTTTTTATTGCGTAAAATTGATTTTTTAATACGTTTTATTCTTAATGATGACCAAAATTACGTCTCTTCTAAAGACGGTAGCTTAGAACTGAAACTTTTAACTGAAGAGTGTTTTCCCCGCAATAATTGTACTGCCTAATCGTTTTCGCGAGTACTCATAACTCGAGTACTCATAGCTACTTCATAACTCATGCGAAATACACATGTTTTAACAAGTACTCATAACTCCTGCATATCTCGAACGAAATACACATGTTTTTGCAAGTACTCATAACTCCTACATAACTGATACGAAATACACATGTTTTCGCATGTACTCATAGCTACTTCATAACTCATACCAAATACACATGTTTTCGAAAGTACTTATTGCTACTTCATAACTTATACGAAATACACATGTTTTCTCAAGCACTCATAACTCCCACACAACTCATGCGAAATACACACGTTTTGACAAATACTCATAATCCCTACATAACTCATACGAAACATAGGTGTAGGTTGTGGCAAATAATCATAACCCCCTACATAACTCTTACGAAATACACATGTTTTAACAAGTACTCATAACTCCCAAATAACTCATAAGATACTCACTTCCTGCATTCATCGAGCGATGCGTCGTGCTGCTGTGGTGAATAAGAAGTCGCTAGGCGCTTCTCCGACTCAAGATACTTCTGCTTCCATTCTTGCGTATCTTCCGTCGCCCTCCTGAGGTGATAGACTGTGTGTTGACTGAGGTACTTGTGTGTTGACTGAGGTACTTGTGTGATGACTGTGGTACTTGTGTGTTGACTGAGGTACTTGAGTGTTGACTGAGGTACTTGTGTGTTGACTGAGGTACTTGAGTGTTGACTGAGGTACTTGTGTGTTGACTGAGGTACTTGTGTGTTGACTGAGGTAATTGACTGAGGTACTTATGTGTTGACTGAGGTACTTATGTGTTGACTGAGGTACTTATGTGTTGACTGAGGTACTTATGTGTTGACTGAGGTACTTCAGTCTGATCAAGATTCACGCTCTCTACGTTCCACATGTTACACATCCATTACTCACATACCACAACGTATATAGAAATGATAGGCGCACAAAATATTATAAACAAATTGGAAATTTCAGGAATCATAAATTTCTATGTAAACGCACTTGATGTGTGCATCGCTGGCTGCCAGTTTTTGCTTGAGTTCGTCTTGTTGCTGCTGTAGCTCCCGTACTGTACGTGGATTATAAAAATTGCTTAGGAAAATTTTAAGTGTAATATCCGTTTAATAATCAACGATAAATATTGTTTGATGATAAAACCTGTTTATTTATTCATATTTTTTGCTGATTTTTTTCACCAGCACAGCCTTTTAATAATTTTAAGAGTGAATGTCTTTAATCCAACGCTCAGCCTTTCAATGCATTCACAGTGATTAGCTGTAATTCTAAGTTCGGCCTTTTAATACTCTCACAACACATGACTGGTCATCATGCTCTGCCTTTTAATACTCGCACAACAAATGACTGGTCATCATGCTCTGCCTTTTAATACTCGCACAACAAATGACTGGTCATCATGCTATGCCTTTTAATACTTTCACTCTGAATGACTATAGTTTCATACTCGGCCATTCATTGCTTTTCCTGCGGAAGACTGTAATTCCATGCTCGGCCTTTCTATGCATTTACTGTCACTGGTTATAATTCGACAACAGCATTTCAATACCTTTCACAGTGAACGGTTGCAATTCCGACACTTTACTGCGCAGAATCTTGTTCTCCTCCTCCAGCTCAGCTCTTACGTGCTCCTGAAATTAAAAATTCGCCTTCAAACGCATCCAATACATTTTTCGTCTATCAATCGCCGCTAAAAACAGAATACGTCCATCGATTTTAAAATCAACAACGAACTCATGCATATGTATGTTGTCAAATTCACGACATGCCAGAACATAAATGGTACATAAATATAGGAAATTATTTAGGTTAAGAAATTGTCAAAGTATATGAAATTGTACTCGTAGTATACAATATTGTCTATACATTTAGTAGAAGTTAATTCGAATGTACCTCAAGATGGATGGATTTCAAATGAGTTCTCAGCAGTTGGTTTTCATCATTGAGCTTCAGCTGTTCATCCCGGACCTTCTCCAATTTTTGTACGGCATCTCTAATGGTGTAAATTTTATTTACATGAGTTCATATAATTACTGGTTAATAATATATACATAAGGGGGCTGCAGGCATCGTAAAAAGCATGCTTTTCACTAACAATGAATAATCGCCGTAAAGAACAAATAGAATATTTTATTAAAAGTGGTTTTCAAATTTTGCCAAAAAAAAACATTGGTGCTGAACGTTAAATGAGGCTTCAAGTTATATTATTCGTTTACTTGCAATATTTCCTTATTTCATTACCGGCAAAAACTGTTTACGGTAATCAAGTGAATCCTCGTGACCAATTATTGCGAAATGACTTTTTTTGCAAAAAGACACTTATTCAGAGAGGCATTAATTCAAAAGAAAAATGTAGGAAATTAGTGATGGTGAACCGACCTGACGTGTTGCGTTTTATCATCGAGAAGTTCATCGTAGGCCTGAATGAGGGAGTGTAGCTGGATTGCTTCACTCCGACTCAGGGTTGCACGGCTGCTTTCTTCAGGAGATACTCGTCTGAAGCTGGCGTCTCGATTTCCAGTATACCTTAGAAAAATATAACTCAGTACTCACTGCAGTGAGCGACAGAGAGCGCATTTTCTCGTCGCCGAAAACTTGAGGTCACGAACAGACGGACGGACAGACAGACAGACAGACGGACATGGCAAGCAAAATAGTGCATTTTTTCCATACATGAGAAAATGCGCTAAAAATCTTAGATTGGTAAATAATTAATTTGAGGTACGGAAAAAAAATTAAAACAATTGAAATAGACTTGTTTATCTGAGATAAATTATTAGAAATTACCCATGTGAGCTAAATATTTTTGTATGTATAAATATTTTTGTATAATGTAAGCCAATCAACTGCTTTGTTGAAGAGACCGCGATTTTTCGTCAAGTTTATGAATTCATTTTGGCATTCAGTGTTCAGCATAATCATGCATAATGTATAATCTTTGATAATTTCAATAAATGAATCTGATATTTATGCATGCGCATCAAAACAAAAGAAATTAATTTTATATATATATATATATATACGCTATATATCCCTTCTAGAATGAGTTGTGGCAGGAGTTGGACCTGGTAATTTAATCCCTAAGGACCAGGTATACGTCCAGTAGCTATTTCGAATCAACGTCAGTTAAGAATAACAGACATCAAAAGGCCAGTTCTTATGCGAACAAGTCACAAGAAGTACAGGAATCGACAAAGTAGCAGGAATCGGTCAGCTGCCGACTCTACTATAAGGTATTTATGTTATATTTTGTTGCGTGATGTTATGTTGTGTGATGTTATGTTGCGTGATGTTATGTTGCGTGATGTTATGTTGTGTGATGTTATGTTGCGTGATGTTATGTTGCGTGATGTTATGTTGTGTGATGTTATGTTGTGTGATGTTATGTTGCGTAATGTTATGTTGCGTAATGTTATGTTTTGCGATGTTATGTTGTGTGATGTTATGTTAATTAATGTTATGTTGCGTAATGTTATGTTGTGTGATGTTATGTTGTGTGATGTTATGTTGCATGATGTTATGTTGCGTGATGTTATGTTGTGTGATGTTATGTTGCGTGATGTTATGTTGCGTGATGTTATGTTGTGTGATTTTATGTTGTGTGATGTTATGTTGCGTGATGTTATGAGTGATGTTATGTTGTGTGATGTTATGTTGCGTGATGTTATGTTGCGTGATGTTATGTTGCGTGATGTTATGTTGTGTGATGTTATGTTGCGTGATGTTATGTTGTGTGAAGTTATGTTGTGTGATGTTATGTTTTGTGATGTTATGTTGCGTGATGTTATGTTGCGTAATGTTATGTTGCGTGATGTTATGTTTTGTGATGTTATGTTGCGTAATGTTATGTTGCGTAATGTTATGTTGTGTGATGTTATGTTGTGTGATGTTATGTTGCGTAATTTAATGTTGCGTGATGTTATGTTGCGTAATGTTATGTTGCGTGATGTTACGTTGTGTGATGTTATGTTTTGTGATGTTATGTTGCGTGATGTTATGTTGTGTGATGTTATGTTGTGTGATGTTGTGTTGTAAATTGATGGCACTCACAAACAAACCTACTGAGGTGAGCTTCCATGCTGCCAATGATGCGCTTGACTGCCTTAATTTCAGCCGTCGTCTCAACGAGCTCCTTCGAGGTCTGCTTCAACTTTTTGTTCAGCGCCAAAATCTCATCGTCTTTTTCTCTCAATCCTCTTCGTAAAGTTGGTTCGAATTCCAACACCCGCTGTCCAGCCGCTGAATTCGGTCGAATGATATAATAATTACTTATAACTGTGTTAGAACATTGAAAACGGTTATATTTGTCACCTGCATGCAATATATTTATGTGAAGCTGTCAGGCATGTTGAAGTATTAAATTTCAATTTTGTATAATCGTGGAACTAACAGCTGAAGGCTGATATTTGTCAGAGGGCACTATTTGAAACGTCGTTTTGTTCCTACTTTCTGATTTACAATTTGCACAATTTACCTCGAACAAAGCCTGTTTACGCTTTCTCGGTAGTATTTAATGACCCAAATTATGATTTACTCTCCCCTACCAAATTGCTTTCTTGTTAATTATTTTTCATGCAAATCCACAATTAAGGTTATCCTTTCACCGTTAGTGATGAAGTACATTTAAATTATTAGGCTGGTGTCCGTTTGTCTTCCAATTTATAAGTTGCATGTTAAAAAAGCCTATAAATAAAAATTGTGATTCAGAAGCGCAAATTGTACGTTTATCATGCAGTTTTATCAATAAAAATTTAAATTAATTAGCCTTACTAGATTCCATTAGAGTTTTGTATAGTCTTTCGTACTCCAAAGATATTTCTGTGAGTCTTTTCATTGTTTTTGCAGCTTCTTTCTCTTCTTTTTTACTCATGGTTGACGATATGTGTCCTTCTCTGACTATAAACAAAGACTGTCGTTTGTAGCTTCTTTCAAAAACTGGCACATTTGTAACCATGGTAACGACGTGTAACAAATACAGAGCTATTGAGTTCTCAGTTCTGTTTTTATCAAGAATTTACAAATACTGAATTAAGTTTAATGAAATCTCACTAAGTAAATTTGTCATTTTTGTTCTCATAAACTTTTTTCACCCTTTATTTTCCTCGGTAAGATATATTTTATTCCTCAGACCACGTTTGATTCCCTGATGCATACAACCGGATCGACACTTCAGCGAACTCAAGCGCGAACTCAAGCGCGATCTCAAGAGGCAAACCTAACTTCACCTTCAACTTACCCAGTCATAAATCCATAAATACCGAATGGATTTCTTTCAAATTTGAAATATAAGTAGATAATATTAGTAATTTGCGGACAGAATTATTTCAGATTTTTACATCAAATACTTTTATATTAATACGGAAAACATGACTTCATTTTCAACTTACCCAGTCATAAATTCATAAATACCGAACGGATTTCTTTCAAATTTGAAAGATAAGTTGATAATATTAGTAATTTGTGGACAGA